CATATTGAACAAATACATAGTAGTTTACCTGGATGATATACTGGTCTTCTCTCACAACTCTATACAGCATAATGCTGCTGTCCAAATGGTCCTGGCACAATTAGGGCAGCATACTCAAAAAATGTGCCTTCCAGCAGGCCTCCATGGAGTTCTTGGACTTTCTTATTTCCAGAAGGAATCCAGCTGGACCTGCGCAAAGTCCAAGCCATCCAAGGCTGGTAGATTCCCCACTTGGTATGTGACCTGCAATGCTTCCTGGGTTAACTCATTTTTGACTATTCATCCCTATTTTTTGTACCAAATTGAGCCCCTCACTGCTGTCCCCTGGAAAAATGTCTAAGTCCATTGGTCTCCCGAGGGCCACTATGTGTTCAGTCAGCTGAAACTTACCTTCACCACTCTGCCCATATTGGCTCACCCAGATGTGTCACAAGCTTTCATGGTAGAAGCTGATGCCTCCAGTCTGGCAATTTGGGGCTGTCCTTTCCCCATGTCTTGGACCCGAACAAGTATTAGACCCATGCACTTATTATTTGAGGAAGCTCACCCCAGCAGAGTTCAACTATGAAATACTAGATAAAGAACTCTGGTGATAGCACTGCCATTATGAAAAGGCGGTCTTTATCTGGCAGCAGCTCACCACCCAGTCCAGGTATTCATTGATCACAAACTGGAGTGCCTGCATAGCATGAAAACATTAAACCAGTGACCGTTCTGGTGGGAAGTAGTTTCTCCCAATTTGATTTAATCATCCCACTGCTCTGGAATCAAAAATGGCCAGGCTGAAGCCCTGTCTTTGGGAATGGTACCAACCCATGAGGCCTCAGCCAGGAACCAACCCTCATTCTCAAGCCCTGTAACTTTATTAGCACAGCTCTTCACTAGGGTATACTTGCAGTGATTCACTCTGCCTCAATATTTCTTCCTGTTGAAGAAGCTATTATCAACAAGTAACTACAGATCACTCCTGGGATGGGATCACATACACAAGGGGCTGCATCTATTTCCCAAGGTCCTAGAAGAATTGTGGCCTGGCAACTGTACCATGACTCTTGACTAGCAGGATATTTGGCGTACTTTAAGACCCAATGACTAATATCCCTATCTGTTTGGTGGCCCAGGTTATGCCAAATAATAGTCATTCAGTGCCTTCTGCAATGTTTGTTTCCACACCAAGATCCACACCACAAAACCTGTGGTCACCTCCAGCCCTTGAGCACCCTATCTCATCCCTGGGCAGCCATCACCACAGACTTCATTGTAGAATTACCAGAGTCCAACAAATTTACAACAATTCTGACTGTATTGAACCACTTCATTCCCTGTACAGGCCTCCTCTTCCCACGTTGGGGAAATGGCCCAGCTATGGATTAGCTATGAAGTCCATCCCCATGGCCTTCTGAGTGCATTATCTCTGATCAGAAGTCCCACATCATGGCTCAATTCTAGTATGGGGGTCTGCACATGCCTTTCCTCCACTTATCATCCCCAGTCCAACGGCCAAATGGAAAGGACCAACCAGCTCCTCAAGCAGTATCTACAATGATATGTCAATCATCACCAGGATGATTGGTTCTCATTTCTCCCTTACGGGTAATTTGCATATAAGAATGCAGACCATACATCCATAGGTCAACCCCTCACCCCCTTTTTAAAAAAACAGCTATAGCTTCCACCCACCACTACCCATGTTCTCTCTGAAGCTGGCTGCCTGAGACCTAGTGGGGCAGATTCACCAGACCCAGGAGAAAGGTGAGGAAACACTTTGAAAAGGCCAGAATAGACTACAAACAGTACGTGCATCAGCATCAACAGCAAGGTCTCACCTATTCAGTGGGGAAAAATATGGCTCTGCGCAGAGCACCTCCATATACAGACCCACTCATACGCTGGACTTTCAGTTCCTAAGATCCAGCAACAGATCAACCTAGTCCCTTTGAACTGCAATTACCCTAATCTCTGAAGATTGACCCAATGTTTCAGGTATCACTTCTGAAACTTGACATGAAAATCCATTTCTCATGCAGGACCCAGCTGCCGCCGCCTCATCCTGGACAGGTTCAAGGTTGTGAGGACTATGTGTTTTACAAGGTCCTGGAGTCTGAACAGAGTATCACAGCCTCCCCGGTTTATCAACGGGGAGGGATATGGCTCTGAGGAGTGCACCCGGGAGCCATTGGAAAAATGTACAAGTGTTCCATAGGAGCCACCGCAAAATTCCAGTCCAACACTGTTCAGAGGGTGTCCCACAGGTCTCCAAACTCTGGTCCAGAAGGCTCTTAGGAGCCAATATGTTTCAACCTGCCACCCAGTAATCTGGTAACAGCAGGGCCAGTACAAGGAAGTTTCGCCTCACCTTGTGCACCCCCTCTCACGCAGCTATCTCCGCCCCCCCATGGCAGCTAACCCAGCCCCCAACCCGAGGAGCCCGCCAAACCCCACCCGGGGAGCCCCCCCCCACCATGGCAGCTAACTTCACCCAGGGAGCCCACCTCCACGGCAGCTAACCCCGCCTGGGGAGACCCCCGCTGTGGAAGCTAACCCCGCGTAGGGAGACTCCACCTCCCCCACGGAAGCTAACCCTGCCCGGGGAGCCCCTCCCTGCGGCAGCTAACCCCGCCTGGGGAGACCCCCCGCCGCGGAAGCTAACCCTGCTAGGGGAGCCCGCCCCAGCTTACCTCAGCTCTGCCTCCTCCGCTGAGCACGCCAGCGCTGCTCTACTTCTCCTCCCCTCGCAGGCTTGCGGCGCCGACTGGAGACGACTTAGAGCGGGGGCTTTGTGCTCAGCGGAGGAGGCAGAGTGGAGGTGATCTGGGGCGGGGAATGGTTCCCCTGTGCGCCCCTCCCCCGTTACTGCGGGCGGCCCTCCCCGCGCCCCCCCCGTCCCAGCTCACCTCCACTCCACCTTCTCGCCTGAGTAGGCTTTTAGGCGCCCCCAACCACTAGGTGCCCTAGGCGGCCACCTAGTTTGCCTAAATGGTTGCACCGGCCCTGGGTAACAGTCACCAGAACTCAAAGCTCAACTTCGGAAGAAGACTCCAGTCCTGGGATCTGATTGGTTCTTCTTCGAGAGATGTCCCTGTGGGTGCTCCACTCCAGGTGTTGGTGCGTCCCTGCGCCTTCGCTCGGAGATTTTTCGCAGCAGTACTCGTACTGGCCACGCATGCGCAGAGGCTGCCCCCGCTGTGAGTCTAGGATAATAGTGCGCATGCGTGGCCAATCTCCTCAGTTCCTTCTCTACCGTCCCCGGCCTGAGACGGAGCTCAGCAGACTCGTTAGGAAATCCCTCACTCTTGCTACAATTCCCTATTCTAGTAGTTAGTTTGTTGTCAGTTCTTGTTAGTGTAGTTCATTAGTTCTTTTATCTGTTATAAAAAAAAAATTCTCTCAGCCGCAGCCGCTTCTACTATGCCTGGCTCTACAGACTTTAAGCGCTGCTCTACGTGTAAGGACGCTATCCCGCTCTCTGATGGCCACTCTCAATGTATAAAGTGCTTGGGGGAAACCCACATTCCCCAAAAATGTGCCCACTGTACCAAACTCAGTTCCAGGGCACGAAAGGACAGGGAGCTTAAACTGAAACTGCTCCTCCTGCAAAAGTCTATCGGGTCAGTTTCAGACCCAGGCGCCAACTCCGGCTCTGCTGCCCGCCACAGCCCCCCTGCTTCAAAAAAACTGAAGAAATCTACAAAAAAGGGGCAGCCCTCTCCTATAAAGAAGTTGGTGAGGCACATGAGTTCTTCAGGCAGGTCAACAGTTTCCCTGCTTGTGTTTCCTCGCCTCAGCACTTTTGAAGAGCCGGGCTCCTCAGGCACCGCACGAAAGCCGCCTCAGGCTGCAGCGGCGGCGCGAGGCTCCAGTGCTGAGGCTTCAGGCTTTCAGTTGCCTCACTGGTAGTAGATGCAGTGAACCAGAGGGCCAAACAACAGTACTCCCGCTCCACTCCAGCCAACAAGGACAGTAAATGCCTGGACATCTTTGGTCGTAAAGTATATGCATCCTCGACGCTACAATTTCGCATAGCTAATTATACTGCAGTCCTTGCAAAATATGACCACAAAAACTATAATAAATTCATGGATTTTATTGATGACATCCCAGAACAGAAGAAACAACAATTCACAGCTCTGGTATCCGAAGGACAAACCATATCATGTACCACTCTTCAAGCGGCCCTCGATGTAGCTAACACTGCAGCAAGGTCGACCGCCACAGCAGTGGTCATGCAACGGGGTTCATGGCTCTCCTCCTCTTTCTTTCCTCGAGAGGTTCAGAGCACCATTGAAGATCTTCCCTTTGACAGGGAAAAACTTTTTGCCTCCACCATGAACGACGTGCTTCATTCAATGAAGGACGCAAGGGCAACCCTCCAGTCCCTAGGTCTCCAGCCACCTGCGACCAGAAGGCAACAATATAGATACCAACCTTATCAACGTCCACGCTACCCTGCATTTACACAACACTCCTATAGACCACAGGAGCAACAACAGCAACAACAACGCCAAAGACCAAGATTCCAGCGTCATCGTCCTAATTCTACAGGGGTGCTGCAGCCCCCTCCAACTAATAGGCAGATTTGAAGCATTGGTCGAGGGTTTAGAAAACAGCGTTCCCACTTCAGCTGGCATACCTATCTTTGGACACCGCCTACGACCATTCTCTCATCAATGGTAGAAAATTACATCCGACAAGTGGGTCATAGAGCTAGTTACAATTGGACACACCATCCCCTTCCTCTCCCTCCCTCCCTCCCCATCCCTCTTCAGGGACCCATCTCACGAGCGATTACTCTTCCAAGAAGTGCAGCATCTCCTTCAACTGGGAGCAGTAGAAACTGTGCCAGAACGACACAGAGGGAAGGGTTTTTACTCCCATTATTTCTTAACAGAGAAGAAAAATGGGGGATGGCGACCAATCCTCGACCTCAGGCAGCTCAACAAATTTGTCAAAAAGCAAAAGTTCAAGATGGTAACTCTCACCACTATAATCCCGGCGTTGGAGCAGAGTGACTGGTTTTCAGCCCTCGACCTACAGGACGCCTATTTTCATGTGACTATACACCCGTCCCACAGATGTTTCCTACGTTTTACTCTCGGCTCCACACATTTCCAATAGAGGGTTCTCCCCTTTGGACTGTCCACGGCCTCCCGTGTTTTTTCCAAGATCCTAGCCGTAGTTACAGCCTACCTCAGAAAACAAGGGGTCGTAATATTTCCTTACCTAGACGATTGCCTCCTTAAAGCTTCAACGTTCGACGAAGCTCTCCGATCCATACGACTTACCATCGACTGTTTCCTATCTTTAGGCCTGCAAATAAACAAAAACAAATCCACATTATACCCCACCCAACATCTGGAGTTCATAGGGGCATATCTCGACTCCTGGACGGGGTTGGCATCTCTCCCACCAGACCGCTTCAACTCTATAAGCCGACTGGCCACAAGGATTTGCAACTGTCCCCAGGTGACTGTCCGAGACTGCCTACAAATACTAGGTCACATGGCCTCGTGCACCTCTGTCATCCAAAATGCACGCCTATACATGAGGTGCTTCCAAGCGTGGTTGGCCACGGTGTACAGACCGAATGTGCACCCTCTAAACAAGACTCTCCCCATACCTGTCCGAGTCAAAGATTCCCTACAGTGGTGGACAATTCACTCCAACCTCTGATCTGGAGTTCCCTTTCTTCAGCAGGCTCCATCCCTCATACTGATGACCGATGCATCTCTGACAGGCTGGGGTGCACACATGTCTCACCACACAGTCCAGGGAATTTGGTCTTCAACCGAGACCTCTCTCCATATAAATGTCCTAGAACTTCGAGCCATTCGCAATGTGTGCCGTCACTTCCTGCCACTAATCAAGAATCAACACGTATGCATAATGACAGACAATATTGCATGCATGTTCTATGTGAACAGGCAGGGAGGAGCTCGATCCCATTCGCTGTGCACAGAGGCTATGAAACTCTGGAACTGGTGCATTGTGAACAACATCCGGGTATCAGCGGCCTATCTTCCCAGAGTGATGAATACCACAGCGGACAAACTAAGCAGACGTTTCCCCTGGGATCACAAATGGGAAATAAACGAGCACACCATTCACAACGTATTCCGCATTTGGGGCTACCCAGCAATAGACCTCTTTGCAACCGCAAAAAACAAGAAATGTCCCAATTTTTGCTCCAGAGCTGGACTAGGCAAACATTGCCTGGGAGACGCATTCATGATCCCATGGCACCAAAACTTACTCTATGCGTTCCCCCCGATACCGGTTCTCAACAGGGTCTTGATAAAAATACGAACAGATCGGGCCAAGGTGATCCTAATTGCCCCGTCATGGCCCAGACAGCCGTGGTTTCCGTTTCTCACCAAAATGTCGATTCGACCACCAATCCCCTTGCCTCTCATCCCGAACCTCCTATCACAACAACATGGCCGCTTTCTCCACCCCAACCTGTCCATGCTTCACCTCAAAGCATGGTTCCTACATGGTTCTCCCAAAGCGAACTAGATTGCTCTGAACAAGTTCAAAGAGTGCTCCTACATAGCAGAACACAATCTACTCACACCACCTATCTACGTAAGTGGAAACGATTCACACACTGGTGTTCAGCTAAACAACTTGGTCCCACGTCAGCATCTCTTCCGCTCATACTTGACTACCTATTGGACCTTAAGCAATCCGGCCTTTCTTTCAGCTCCATCAGGGTCCATTTAGCTGCTATTACAACTTTTCATGACAAAATTGATGATACTTCTGTATTTGCTCATCCTATCACCAA